GAGAAGGAGGGAGGGAGAGAGAGAGGAGGGAGAAAAGGAAGAAGAAAGAGGGAGGAAGAGAGATGGGGGGGAGAGGGAGGGAGGAAAAGAGAGGGACGGAGGGAGGAAGGGAGAGAGGGAAGATGAGAGAGAGAGGGGAGAGAGAGGGAGGGAGGAAAAGAGGGAGGGAGTGGAGAGGGAGGGAGGGAGGGAGGTGGGAGAGATGGACACTATGGGCCCAGCGCAGGCACCCTCCCCACTTCCCCTGGGAAAATGCAGAGCTGGCTCTTCCCAGTCACCCAGCAAAGCCCAGTGCGTGAGCCAGGAAGGCCAGGGCAGGAGGTAAGTACCCGCCCAAGGTGCGACCAGGAGAGCCCCACAGCCTCTTGCTGCCAGGACCAGTGTGCCATGCGGTGGGCCGTCCATCTCCCGAGGGGCATCTCACCTCCCGGCTCCCATGGCCCGCTTCCCTTCACAATCTCTCAGCCAACCTCTTTCCAGGAAAGGATTTCCCACGTCCCCACTGGGGAAGTTGGCTGTTAACGAGTTTAATTCATGGTTTTACATCTCCCCGAGGAAGGCGCCGAGCAAACTTCACAGGCACAGAAGATTTAGGGATTTACGATCTGATCCACACAAGCGCAGGCTACCTTCACTGTCCACCCACTTGAGGGTGAGGGGGTGCCCCTGGTGCAGACTGCACATCTCTCGCACTTCCTCACAGAGCTCCTCGAAGGTCATCGCGGGGTCCAAGCTGGTGATCAGGATGTCCCTGCGCAAAGAGGATGTGGACACGTTTCACCAAGGAGCACATTTAAATCAAATTAAATACTGATCACTGATTAGCCAAGTTACTGATTAATTAAAAGAAATGAAATTTTCCCCAAAGAAAATATTACAGCCCACCCCCCAACAGAACCATTGACCACAGTTTCTTACAAATACCACCACGAATGCCCTTGCACAGAAAGGAAAGACCCAGGTGCCTGGAGGCACCTGAACAAGGGGGAAAGAACGAGGTGAGGGCAAGCACCTGCTCAGGCACCAGGTTCAGATTCTGCCCAGAAGGTCACCCAGGAGGGGTGGGGGGGGGGGTGGGACACAAGTCTGTCCAGTCTAGCCCGGCGGCTTCACTAACCTGTTCCCCCAGCCTTGATAGGGCCAACTACGGGAGCAGGTGGAAGCGGGGCTGAGGGAGGAGCAGAATGAATAACTTGTGAACCCAAGGCTCCTCTTCCAGACCCGGGGGACCATCCCACTGCCTTCAGTGTAGCTGTGACACAATTCCACGCACACCTTTTTGAAAGCACCTCACAGAATGTTACTGTCTTTTATCTTTTCATCCAAAACTGGAATGTTGAATCTGGATGGTCACCCTTTGAGGGCTGGGCCTTCAGGAGTGAGGCAAGTTAGCACAGGGGAAGCCCATGAGACCCGACAAGGAGAGTGAGGGGCGGGGCACTATTCCCCTCCTGTGCATGGCTCCCCCTACTCACTGAAACAAGACGTGGCCCTGTCCCCCCAACAGACAGAAGGGACGGCAAGGATGGCCCCAACAGAGCGATCCGGCCCTTGCCCTCCGCAGCACGACTTCGGCACACGTAGGAAGGGGCCATCCCACCTCCACGGCCGGACCCTGACCACCACCCCTAACGTCAGCCCACTCCTGAATCAAGCAGCGGCTCTGAGCAAACACGGGCTCCTGAGGCTGCCAGCCAGCACTCTCAGACGGAGCCCTGGACAAGGGCCACCAGGAGTCTGCACCCAGCAGCCTGGTGGAAAGCCCTCTCTGGACTCCTGGGAGTCCCCAAGCCACAGCACCCAGCCCTGGGCTTTGCACACAGCAGGTCCTCGGTAAGAGAAGTCCTGGAACACAAGCCTGAGCTGGAGAGAGGGAAGGTCCAGCACAGTTGTCTCTGTGATCTTAGAAAAGCGAGCAGAGCAGGGTCTCCCATGGCCCAGCTGGGGGAGGCAGACCCTGGTCTCAAGCCTTCCGAGGGCCTCGGGGGACAGGCAAGGGTGAAGCTACGGCGGTGGGGTGGCTGAAAGTCCCTCCATTTTTAAGAATAGTTTCCACTGTGTCTGCCCCTCAGCTCCTGGCCCTGCTGCCCCAAAATAACCTCCCTTCCATGGCAGCAGCGACAGAATTTCACCTGGACCCACGGGGTTTGGACAAGTGAGCCCTGGTCTTGGTGGGCGCCTTCCAGGCCCAGTATCACTGCTGCGCTCTAAGTCTCCCAACTCAGACAGCAGGGTTCCTAACCCCATGGGAGGGGCCCTGGTGCGGGCAGACGTCAGGAAAGTAGGCACCAAAGGGAGTGAGAAGCTGGAAAAGGGAAGGAAACTTCCGTCCAGCCCAGGGCTGAAAGGAGGAGGGGTGTGGGAGGAGAGGGGGAAAATGAGAAGGGGAGGAAGATGAAGCAGGGAGAGGAAGGAGGGGAAGAGGGGAGGGGGGAGGAAGGAGGGGAAGAGGGGAAGAGGGGAGGGGGAGTGGAAGGAGGGGAAGAGAGGAAGAGGGGAAGAGGGGAGGGGGGAGGAAGGAGGGGAAGAGGGGAGGAGGAGAGGAAGGAGGGGAAGAGGGGTGGGGGACAAGGTGGGAATGGAAGGAAGAGGAAAGATCGTAGGGGTGTGGCCTCACTCCCCGGGAAAGCCTACTCAACAGGTCACACTACCCCGTGGTAACCAGAGCACTCTCCAGGGGCCAAAGCAGGGAGGGCGGGATGGGTGGGCCGGCTCAGCCCAGAGCTCCCAGGGGCTGTGCTGAACTTGCCTGTGACCCCTCAGTCACTTCCACTCCCTGGCTCAGTGCCTGGAGACCGGCTGCTTAAACTGCCCTGGGGGAAGGCTGGGGGTCGAGTCCCCACCCTCCCTGCGCTGGGGTGTGGACCTCCTCTCATTAAGGATCTGCTCTGATTTTTACAGAGTGGCTTGCTGCTCAGTTCCAGGTTCCCAGCGGGAGAGGACCGCGTCTCTTATATATTGACAGGTGTTGCACACAAGATGCTCTGGCCCTTGTGCCAGTCCCAGAGCCAAGACCGAGCTGACATCTCACCAGTTTTAGCAGCAGCTCACCCTTCAGGCCAGAAGACCGGACTCCCCATCTCTTCAGCGGGGTTGGCCGACCTGTCCCTCAGCGCCCCTTCCCTCCGGCTCCGCCACCAGTAGCCCCTTCCCCAGCGTGCACCCAGGAGACCCGGCTGAGGACGGCAGAGGGGGCAGGAGACCCGACCTGAGACTCCAGACGGGTGCGCTCCGGAGGTCAAAACCCGAAGCCCCTCCCTCCTCAGGTCGAGGACGCGCGGGCGCTGCGCCCCCAGCTAGAGCGCCGGGAACGCCGCCAGAGCCGGGACGCCCAGCTCACCCGCAGGGCCGGCGTTGCGCTCCCCTCCAGCCAGCTGGCCAGCGGCGGCCTCGGAGCAGCCAGGTCCGACCTCGGGGCTCCCGGGGACCAACCCCGTGGAAAGAAGCATCAGCATATGTGCCCAGCTCTCCCTCAGCGCCGTCTACTGCGCAAGGCGCGGCGGCGGGACCCCGGCCCCTGGGCGCAGCCCCCTAAACCCTCACCAGGGCGGTCCGGCGGCGGCCAAGCGTCGAGCGTTCCCTGGGCCGGGCCAGACGCACCCGGACATGGACCCTGGGAGGCGCCCGCTCGCCCATTTCACAGCGAGACAGGTCGAGTTCAGGGCGCCGTGTGCGGCCGCAGGGCCGAATCGGAAAGGTCCGGCCCCCGACGGAACCGCGCCGGAGCCTTTCCAGGCGCCCTCCATTCGCGCAACCCCGGCGGCTCACCGCACCCGGCCTTCACCTGGTTCAGTGAACTTTTCTTAAACTGAGATCTCAAGCTGGGTAAATTGGGGAAAATTTAGAAACTCCGACTTTTTAAAGTCTGCCAGCAGTTTCCACAATTTGATAAAAACTTTAGTCCTTACAAGTTTGTGGCCTTAACGTCCCGGCCAACTTTCCAGGGAAAATGTCAACATTTTGCCCAGAGCTGCGGAGCGCTCGACGACGCCCGCCTCCCGCGCCGCGGCGACCTCCGGGCAAGTCTGAGCCCAGGAAAACCTCGCCGGGGCGGGCAGAGACCCGCGTGGCCTCCTGTGCCCAGTGCGCTCCGGGCAGGGCCCGTCGACCCCGAGCCTCGGGCGCCGGGGGCCAGGCCCACCCCGTCCTGCCCATGAGGTTTCCCGCGGGTGACGTTCCAGGGTGCCCGCAGCGCCCGCCTCGCCCGGAGCCGCCTCTCGGCGCTGGCGCGTCAGGACCTCCCGGGACGCCCCTGGGCCCAGCGGCGCCTCGCTGTCCCCTCCTTCCCGCGACACGGCTGGGAGCCCCCGAGCGCCTGCAGCTGCGGCGACATGGGCCCCGACGGCCGGCGCTGCTCCCCGCGCCCCGCTTTGCCCTCGGCCCCGCCGGCCTCGGTGCACACGCCCCCGGCCCCGGCAACGCCCCGCCGTCGGGCGCTGCGCGCTCACCCGTTGTAGTGCGCCTTCAGGCGGACACGGCCGCCGCTCCCGTCCATCTTGGGGCCCGTCCTGCTGGGCATGGCGCGCTCCGCCGGCCGCCGTCAGTGTGGCGCCCCGGGCGCTCAGGCCATGGCGCGGGGCCCCCAGCGGCCGGGCCGGGACGCCAGGTGGGGCCGGCGGCGGAACGCGGAAGGGAGCGCGCGGCGGGGGACCGAGGGGTGCCGGTCCGGGCAACTCCGCGGAACTTGAGTAGCGGGCGGGGCGGGGCGGGGGCGCGGCCGGCGAGGGCGCGCGCGGGGGACGCGCACGGAGTCCCGGCGTCAGTCTCCGCGGGGGGGTGGGGGGTCTGAACATGGCCGACCCGGGGCCCAGCCGGCGGCCAATCGGCTGGGCGGGCGGTCCCCGGGCGGGGGCGGTGGCACCTGCGGCCAATGAGGGCGAGGCGGGGCCGCCACCTGGGCCAATCCCCGGGGGACCCCTCGGCCGCGGCCCAATGGCTCGGCGCTGGGCGGACTACCTGTCGGGCGGGGCGCGCCCCACCTGCGGCCAATGGGAGTGCGCGTGGCCCGGCTCTGCCCGGCAACCGAAGTCGGCGCGGGCGGCCGGGGGACACTGGGACTGCCCGCGGGGCGCCCCCTGCCCGCCCTGCGCGCCGGCCCCTCCGTGAGGTGGGCTCGGGGGCCGCGGTTCCTGGGTAGGGCCCCTGCGCTGCCGCGCCCCGGGAACTTGGTGGCAATGCCAGCTCTCGGCCCCAGTCCGACTCGCTGAATCAAACTCCAGCTGTCTGCGAACAAGCCCGGGTGATTCTGGGTCGAGCGCAAGTCTCAGAGCAGCAGGTCTAGGGGACAGCGGGGAGGGGTCGCCGGTGATGTGAGGAGCGGGGGTGTGGCCAGAGGGCGCTCCGCCTCCTAGGAGCAAGAGTACAGTAAGCAGCTCAGACCCCCGACCGCGAAGGGCGCTTGGACAGTGTCCCCAGCGTCCGGCCAGCTTCCAGATGCGGAGACCGAGGCTGCGAGGAGCAGAGAACCTGGCCGACGTCACGATCCGGACTCAGCTGGTTCTCCCGACCCACCCGCCCTCCACCCCCTGAGGAATCCAAGATCCCATTGCAGGAAAGGCTTGTCTACACTCGCTGGCCGGCTCCCTCTGCTCCAGTTCACCCTTCCGCCCGGGACAAGGAGACTGCATTTGCGCAGGCCGCCCATGACCTTCATTTCTGAGTCCACAGCCTCTCTGGGTCTTACTGATTCCGTGGCATTTGATCTGGTCAGTCGCCTTTAACGCCATCCGCGCCCCACGCCACCCCTCAGGTGCCCGCGTCCTGGGCCCCTTCCCCTTAAATGTGGGATAGGCTTCTCTGAGGAACCCATCCCTTACTGGATGCATCCACAGGGGCCCCAATCTGCTGTTTGCAGGACCTCAGCTGGGCACCAGTCGCGCACCACAGACTCAGAGGTCTGCAGCCCCTCATCCCTAGCACTCCTGCCAAACACAGTCGTCCCATCGGCCACTCCCCACTGCCTCCCTGTTTTTCCCCACCCCACCCGGTTGGCAACCTCTGACCCGGACTCCAGTCCCAGCCAAGCCTTTACCGCTCACTCCTCAGCTCCACTCCTCTCCTCCCATTCGCACACTTTCATTCCACAGATGCTTCCTGGCGTCTCCTCGGTGCCCGGCGCTGGAGTGACGCTGGGGAACCCAATGGACACATCCCTGTGGTCATAGAACCATATTCTCCCCAGAGGTGGGCACACAGAATCCTGTTGACGGCCTACCTCTCACCTCCTTAAAGTGCTGTGAACTCTCCCCTTAAAAAAACCTCTGCACCCTTCACCCCCCCCCCCAATTTCTCCACTCCTCTACAGGAAACTCCTGCCAGGAGCTGTGCGCAGCCCCCGCTCCCCCTACTGTCACCATCAACTCCTATGTTTTAAATACAATGGCCAGTTTTCGGGCTTTGTCTTAATTGACCTTGACAGTGGGTCTCCTGGAAACACCTTAAGACGCTATTACTCTCTCCCGTCTCCTCCTCCATCTCCCTCTGCAGCTTCCTCCTGGGCTCCCAGCCTTTCAATGCGCCCCTCGCCCCTTCTCAGTCTTTAGAGATTCTCAGGACCTTGAGCTTCTCATTTCCTCTTAGGGCTCCGAATACCAGGCCAAGCTGAGATCGCTCCCCTGAGCTCTGGAGCCTGATTCCCCCACACACACGCCTGTGCTCCTAACAGACGCCCCTCGGCCTTGCTCTTCTCCGTCCTGTCGTCCTGTCGGTGCGGACCCCTCTCTCCAGGTGCTCAGCTTGAAACCTCAGAGTTGATTTTGCCTCCTCTCCCTCTCGTACCCCACACCCCTCCATCTGCAAATCCTGGCAGCTCCACTTTCAACACGTTTCCAGATTCCAACCCCATCCCCCCACCTCCATTGCGACCGCCTGGTTCAAGCCACACCCGCTGTGCTGGGGTTGTTGCGGCAGCCTCCAGTTTCCTTAAAACAGAAGTCAGTCCCTGTCCATCTGTCTGGTGTTCAAAATCCCCGGTGATTCCCATCATTCTCGGGAAAAGCCCACAGGCCCTACAGGATCTGGGACCCTGTGCTTCTCTGCCCTCATCTCCACCATTCTTGTCCTGGCTGTACTCCACTCCAGCCGCCTGGCTGCCGCCTGCCTCAGGGACTTTGCACATGCTATTCCCTCTCCGAAGAGCTCCTTCCCCCAGACCCACCCTTCCTTCTAATCTCTGCTTAAGTCCCTGACGTCTGTATTAGTATCTGCTCCCCCGCCCCTACCTCGTGGGGTGACTCCACACCCCAGCACGGACACACAGAGCTCCATGGCTGTCAGTTGGGCATGAAGGGAACGGGACTGAGGGTTTGCGCTGGGAGGGGAGCAGCATGGTGCTCCCAGGGAAGAGCAGGAAGCTGCCATGTGAGCAGAAGCCCTGGGTGGCAGGTGAGTGTGTGGGGCACAGCTCCCCCATGCCAGGCCCCTCAGCCTAGGGGTGGGGCCCCTGTTCTCCATGGGGGAGGGGAGGGGCCTATTCCAGGAAAGGGGATTCCACCCTGGGTCTCCACCACATCCAGTCCCAGGCCAGGTTGAGGGCATATGGTCGCCTGCTGTGCCCAGAAAACGTCCCAAGGCCTCCCCAGCAGGCTGGGGCCCCCCTTTTGCATCCTCAACAAGCTCTGCAAAACAAGTGCCCCCATCCCATAGCCCAGGCCACGGACAGCCCTGGCGGGGGTGGGAGTAAGTACATCCCAGCCACTGGAGCTGAGCCACCCCATGGAGCAGAGGGCAGAGGGCGCGGTCCTGAGGGACAGGCAGCCACACCCAGCCTGGTGTCAATGTGTCCACTGCACCCTGACAACCAGAGCAGCGTGTTTATTCCCAAGTTTGCTGACCACTTGCCCCTCCGGACACGGCTGGTGTTGGGACCCCATCAGCCTGGGTCACCGCTGTGTCCCCACTGCGTCCCAGGCATCTAGCACCCCGAGGAGAGAATGAATAGATGAGGACCTCTTGGAGGTGCTGGGACCATGTGGGCCCCCTAGGACCTTGGGCCTTGTTTTGGGGGCCACTGGGCAGGGTTACTGCCTCTCCCTGTCTGCAGTCCGTGGAGGCATAATGGCTGATGGGAGGACCCGCCCCAGGCCCTGGCGGGCAGCAGAGCGGGAAGGTGACCCTTGGACCCAGGCGCAGGCTGTGCCAGGCCTGTGAAGGGCCCTGGGGACTGAGGGCGCGGCTTCTCACCTCTTGGCAGTTTCTGTGTTGCAGATTTTCCAAAAAGTCCACACATGCTTTCACAATCACCAATACCTATTCTGTCCATAAGGAAAAAGCACAGCGGTGGGTGGTGGTTGCTGTTTTAACTGATTATAACAGTGACACAGGCGTACTGTAAAACTTCAAAGGCAGGGAGCTGTGCAGAGCGAGGAGCCCTCCTGACTGCTTCCCTCCTCTCCCGGCAAACCAAGTCCAGCCGCGGGGGAGACACCGTCCCTCTCTGGCCACCTGGGACCCGAGGGCAGATGGAGGTGCAAGGTGGCCGCCTGGCTGCGCTTCCCACCAGGTGTGGGGCTGGTGGGGGGAGGAGGGCAGCTGGGCCAGCAGAGGACAGAGTGGGGCTGCCTGGCCTCCAGCCGAGGTCCCCCCCGACCCTCCAGACAGCACCTGGCTCACCCCTCTAATTTTCTTTGATAAAAGTTCTTTTATGGAAAAAAATAAACAAGTGGGACTTCCATAGACTAAAGAGCTTCTACAGGGCAAAGGAAACCAGGATCAAAACGAAAAGACAGCCCACCAACTAGGAGAAAATATTTGCAAATCATGCATCCGACAAGGGGTTAATCTCCAAAATATATAAAGAACTCACACAACTGAACAACAAAAAAACAAACCACCTGATCAAAAATTAGCAGAGGAGATGAACATTTTCCACCGAAGATTTACAGGTGGCCAATAGGCACATGAAAACATGTTCAACACCACTGATCATCAGGGAAATGCAAATCAAAACTACACTAAGATACCACCTTACACCTGTTAAAATGGCTATAATCACTAAGACTAAAAGTAACAAATGTTGGAGAGGTTGTGGAGAAAAAGGAACCCTCATACACTGCTGGTGGGAATGCAAACTGGTGCAGCCACTATGGAAAACAGTATGGAGATTCCTCAAAAAACTAAAAATAGAACTACCATACGATCCAGCCATCCCACTACTGGGTATTTATCCAAAGAACTTGAAATCAACAATTCAAAGAGACCTATGCAACCCCATGTTCACTGCAGCATTATTCACTATAGCCAAGAAGTGGAAGCAACCCAAGTGCCCATCCACACATGAGTAGATAAAGAAGATGGGGTATATATACACAATGGAATACTACTCAGCCATAAAAAAGACAAAATTGTCCCATTCGCAACAACATGGCTGGACCTGAAGGATATTATGTTAAGTGAAATAAGGCAGACAGAGAAAGACAACACTGTGTGATTTTACTCATATGTGGAAGATGAACTAACACATGGACAAAGAGAACAGTTCAGTGGTCACCAGAGGGAAAGGGGATTAGGGCACAAGGGGTGAAGGGGCACGTTTGTATGGTGACTGACCAATAAGGATGTGCAACTGAAATTTCACAATGTTATAAACTATTATGACCTCAATAAAAAAACAAAAAATAAAAATAAATAAACTTTGTCGTCATAAAAAAAAGAAAAAACTAACATGATGGTACATACAGTATGATCTCGTTTTTAAAAAATAAACAATATGCACTATAAGGGTAGATAATATACTCAAATATTAATAATTATAGGCGGCTTTACTTTTCTTTTTCCTGCTTTATCTCCCCAAACCCCCCGTACATAGTTGTATATCTTAGTTGCAGGTCCTTCTAGTTGTGGCATATGGGACGCCGCCTCAACGTGGCCTGACGAGCGGCGCCATGTCCGCACCCAGGATCCGAACCCCGGGCCACCGCAGTGGAGCGCGAGAACCTAACCACTCAGCCACAGAGCTGGCCCCTGTTTTTCTTTTTTTTTAAGATTGGCACCTGAGCTAACATCTGTTGCCAATCTCCTTTTTTCCTTCTTCTCTCCAAAGCCGCCAGTACACAGTTGTATATTCTAGTTGTACATTCTCGTTGTGGCATGTGAGACGCTGCCCCAGCGTGACTTGACAAGCGGTGCCATGTCTGTACCTGGGATCCAAACCGGTGAAACCCTGGGCTGCCGAAGCAGAGCGCTCGAACTTATACTCTCGGCCACGGAGTTGGCCCTATTTTTTCTTTTTGCTTGTTTATATTTCCTAAATTTTCCATGAGAATCATAAATCTCTTTGTAACAAGAAAAAAAAATCAATAAAAGTCGTAAAAAAACAATTCTTTCTACCAAACCCCTTTAGTAACTAACATGGACCTTCAGAGTTCAGGCAGGATTTTTCCACATCTGATTTAAAGTAGAGAGATTGTGGGGCCGGCCCGGTGACACAGCAGTTAAGTGCACACGTTCCACTTCGGTGGCCCGGGGTTCACTGGTTTTGATCCCGGGTGTGGACATGGCACCGCTTGGCAAGCCATCCTGTGGTAGGTGTCCCACGTATAAAGTAGAGGAAGATGGGCATGGATGTTAGCTCAGGGCCAGTCTTCCTCAGCAAAGAGAGGAGGATTGGCAGCAGTTAGCTCAGGGCTAATCTTTCTCAAAATAAATACATAAATAAAAATACGGTAGAGAGATTGAGCATAACGTTAAGAGGGAACATGCAGCCCAAACATAGCTTAAAAGAACCTGGATCAGTCAAACCTCAGGATCTGTAGCTGGGCTTGAACCCCCCCACCCTCTGGTTAACAGGTGAATAAGCTCACTGCTGCCCCAGAAAGGTGGGTCTGGCCCTCTACGCGGGGCCTCCAGCCCCAGGCTGCCGCAGCCTGGCTCCCCTGCCTGAGGGACTCCACCCGCTCCAGAGAAAGGGCCCGAGAATCCTTGGAGATGATGCCAGTAGCTACTGTAATGTGATTTCATAAGAATCAGAATTTCCCGGCGGCGATAAAGTTACAGGGCTCTCATGTGCCTGCGTTCAAAAGGAAATGATTTCACTCATATGTGGGGGATAAACTAACACACCCATAGATACAGAGAACAGATTGGTGGTTACCAGAGGGGAAGGGGGTGGGGGAGGGCGAAAGGGGTGAAGGGGCACGAGTGTGTGGGGACGGACAGCAACTAGACTTCGGGCAGTGAACACGATGTGGTCTACACAGAAGTCAAAACGTGATGATGTACACCTGCAATTTACATAGTGATGTAAACCAATGTCACTTCAATAAAAATAATTAATTTTTTTAAAAAGTTTTTTATGGCCATACTTTCAAAATCCTTTAGGTGAAAGAGGCAAGCCAGGCAGAGTTTATGCTCAGTGAGACACATCGGGCAGAAGCGAGGCCCCCCAGGGGCCGGCTGTCCCTCCCCAA